TTATATATATGAATATATATATTCATACAATATATATAAGAATTTTAAAATTCCCATTAGTCCACAACTTGATTTTTGTAAAATAATTTTGTAAATAAAGCCTTCCAAGTTCCAATCATATTCAACAATCACTGCAACCAATGAGTTTATGGTACTTGAGCTCTGCTGTAACACAATTTTTCCTCTGTATATGTATATATGTGCATCTCTCTCTCTCCCTTTATATAACTTTGTCTGACAAATTCAAATGGAATAACAGAACTCTTCTGCAGAGTTTAGAGGTTTCAGTTTTTAATGCAAGGCTGTGGTTACAATAAATCTCTTCGAAAATTTTGTGACTGGAAAATCAATGCAAGTTAACACTATGAAAGGAGACATTCTCACTCTTTTTCTTCCAAACTTGCAAAGTAATACAGGTCTAAACTATGTGAACATTTTGTTTTGATCTGGAACTTCTGGATCACTTAAGGAGATATGGCTATGTCAACATGATTATTAATATTTATTGCTAGATACCCAGAGTTTTGGATGATGATGGTAGTTAGACTTTGGAAGCACTGACACTACCATAAAGTATATCATTTTTCTGACTAAACTAAAACTTTTATTCTTGGGCTTTAACTTCTACAAGGTGCCATCCATTCCAAAATGCTGTAAAATATCAACCCTCTTTGCTTTGATTAATGATACATTGTCAGAGTGATGAATTCTTCTAGAGTGTAATTTGAAAGATAATATCATTCTAGGTGGAAAAAAAGTTCAGGTGAGAATTTAGAACAGTTACCAGCTGAAACCCTACCATCATACAGTGTAGTGAAGGATGTGGGGGAATCTGGAAATAGTCAGTAAATCACATCTTTTGGCTCTAGTTTAGCGTCTATCCTACAGTGAGATACATGATTTACTATGTGCCTTGAAGCCTGTTTTCGTTTGATTTTAAAACATTTTTAGCATGTAGATCAGTTGTAGAGGTAATTTTATATATTTTCAGTCTCCTCTTGTTACCTATCAGTATTGTTACATTTAAATTTTCATACTTAGAAAATGGAAAGAAAAATATCTTTAGGTTGATATTTAAAATTTGAAAATATTTTAATATACAGTACAGTATTATGATACTTAACACGTATAGTTATCTATTTTAAATATTTGATAAAAATAACCTTCATATTCTTATTCATTGGTTCTTACTCAAAGTGATTATTGTTATAATCATTATATTAAGTGAAAGATAGTGTGTTTTCTGTTGTAAATCTAGATAAGTCCTTTTAAGAAAAGACAAAGTTTGTAGGGTATGTCCATTTAAGTGAAGACAAAGGTTATAGGATAAAAACTGTTAGCAGTAGTTACTCTGGGGAATACTACTTTGCTATACACCAGATTTATACCAAATTCTGGCAGATACGTCCTAAACTTTTTTGTTTTTTTTCTGAGATGGAGTCTCACTCTGTCACCTAGGCTCCCTGCAACCTCCACCTCCCTGGTTCAAGTGATTCTCCTGCCTCAGCCTCCCAAATATCTGGGAGTACAGGCATGCACCACCATGTTCAGCTATTTTTTGTATTTTTAGTAGAGATGGGGTTTCACCAGGTTGGCCAGGGTGATCTTGAACTCCTAACCTCAAGTGATCCTCCTGCCTCAGCCTCCCAAGGTGGAGGATTACAGGCATGAGCCACCACACCCGGCCTAGATAAGATTTGATCAGCTCCTGTTAATATAAATAAACTATAGTTATATTGATTCTTTAGCAATAAATGAACAAATTTTAATCTGTTATAATCCTTATTCTTTTAGATACCATAAATATACAGTACAGTGTTATGATATTTAATATGTATCATCTATTTTAAATATTTAAAAAAATAAACTTCATATTCTTATTCATTGGTTGTTACTCAAAATGATCATTGTTATATTATCTTTTCCCTGCAGTTCAAAAGCTGTAACTTAGCCAAAGTCACATAGCTGATTATGTGGTGACCATGTCTGGGCTGAAGTTAAGTCTGTTGAGTTCCAAACCCATGCTCATAGATATGAAATAAAATGTACTCTATGTAGGACCTATTTTCAGCAGAGGAAGTATGCTTGAAAATAGGAGGAACCTCCATTTCTTAATTTTTTTATATGGCATGACTATTATTAATTTCTGCATACTTGGTCAAATATAAAAATAAACAGGCAAAAATAAGTTAAAAATAAAGCAACAAACTAAACTAATCCCCCCAATCCTTGCATATGCAATTGAATACAGAATTACAGTTTTGTGAGTTTTTTAAAGGAAGGAACAGTATTCAAATCTGTTAGAGACAAAATTTAATATTTGCAGTTTCAAGAAATCAAAGGTAAAACACATTTTCCGTATCACAAAGACCTAACATAAATCTAGTAGGGAAAAGGGATGAAACTAGCATAGATAATTTGATTCTATTTCAAGTCCCAACATTTTGTAGCCATTTGACTTTGGCCTCAGCTTTCTGAACTTTTTATTCCTTGTCTATGTAATGGGGATCATAATATCTGCTCTCTTTCTTTGCACAGTACTAAAATTAAGAAAAGGAAGGTGTGCATACACAGGCTTACAATGGAGAAAAGTAATGTTTCAATATATGATGTTCTGGAAAAGAACATTTCCATTTACTTGCATTTTATTGATTTTAGTTATGTGCTAAATTAGTAGAACTTTAAGATATTCAAATATAGAATTCTATTTTATTAGTTACCTGTGATGTTTATTTTATTTTTTAGCATAAAAAATGTGGATTTTTCACTATTTCTGATTCTCTTAATATGCTACCTAAAATGTTATAACAATAATTGTAATGTTGATAGCAGGATTCATTTTAGGACATAATTTGTTTTGTGCTATTTAAATAAACATATATATGAATGATAATTCTATATAAAATTAATCCTATAGCTTTTGATAGTTTAAAAACATAAAATGAAAACCAAACACATAACTGCCTCTGAAATCTATAGACCTTTATTCTAGGACGTTTTAAACCAGGCTTAGGCTGGATTACTCTGTTTGAAAAATGTTAGTGGTAAAACTACAGATGTTTCTGGAAGAGTGAGGTACTACCCTTGGCTTGAATTTCTTTTTAAAAATAGAAGGACTACATAGGCCTATAGAGGTTTTCTGAGAATCACTGGAAAAATTTGAAGCAAATTCCATGGATTTGTGTACAGACAGCAATATATATGCGTAGGTCATGTTTGTCATTTTTCATAGGTATTTTATTAATTCAGTATGAAATAACACTAGTTAATTTGATGTTCACTGATATATTCCAGAATCAGACTGCAATGAATCTTAATAGATTTACAAAAGGTCATAACTGAAAAGTTCCAATGTAATGTTAGCTATTTAAATTGGCAACTAGATGAAAATTTAAAAAGATGAGCATTTTCATGGCAGAGTACAACATAATTATATCTGATCCCTGCTAAATTTTTCTTGTTTGGAGGATATTTGCTAAGAAATAAGAGCTACTTTCTGTCTCCTGTATGCCATGTTCTCATAGAGCATCTGATGACCCTGACTCTTCTCCCTGGAGTTTAATTCAGACTCAGATGTGATCCTAAATCCTGCAGTCCCTAGGCAGACTCTGGTAGTTTCTGATAGAAAACTCTTTAGAGAATGGGGTCTTCCCCAGATTTGCCAGTTCTTGGTCAGTCACTCTGACAGCATGTGGAAAGTTTTTCTTCAAATCCGTTTTCTATATTATTTTTTTAAATTCTGTAGCTCTTCTCCCTCCCTGATACCTTATTTTTACAATATGCTATTTTCCAGGAACTGTGGTAGATATAAAATCATTAAAATATATGTATTTTTTCCTTTTGTGAGCTTATGTGGTATGATGAGATGTGAAATCAATATAATTAGGGCTGGTAGAGATCCACGCAGGGTATTAAGAGGGTAAATGCCGTGTACAGTTGGGGGAGGGCAGTGTGCAAGTAAGGGTTCCTAGACCTGTGGGAGTAATGGCGTGAATTCAAAGGAAAAGCAAAAGCCTGCCAAGCAAAGATGATGGTAGAGGAAAGAAGGTCTTCCTGGTAAGTGAACCTCATGGGCAAGGCACAAAATGAGAAATGACTTGGAGTGTATTAAGGAACTACAGAGAGAAGTGTTTCTTGATGTGCCCTTTTGGATAGTGGATGCTTTCTAAAGATGTTTTATCACCAAGGAATACTCATTACTGCTTATTCAGTCTCCTACTAGATTAGCTATATTTATTTCTTTAGTTATGACGTACACAAAATATCACATCTATCAATTTGGGGTGTGCATAGTGGAAAGTTTATGAGTCATTAGACTTATATACACCTGAGGCCACCCACTCTCTACGGTTACCAAGGGCGAGTTATTTAAACTCTCTGAGCTTTAGTTTCTTCTTCTGTTTTTCTTTTTTGAGATAAAGTCTCAGTCTGTTGTCCAGGCTGGAGTGCAGTGGTATGCAATCTCAGATCACTACAATCTCCGCCTCCAGGTTCAAGTGATTCTCCTGTCTCAGTCTCCTGAGTAGCTGGTACTACAGGCACACACCACCATGCCCGATTAATTATTGTATTTTTAGTAGAGATGTGGTTTCACCATGTTGGCCAGGCTGTCCTGTAACTCCTGACCTCAAGTCATCTGCCCACCTCAGCCTTCCACAGTGCTAGGACTACGGGCACAAGCCATTGTGCCCATCCTGAGCTTTAGTTTCTTAATTCCCAAAACAGACAAAAATAGGTATGTTTTAGAATTGTCTTGGTGATTAAGTGATACATTATTTTTAAGATGGTTGGAATTGTATGAGTCCAAACTAGTTCTCTCAGTAGATGGCAACTGTCACTATTATACTGGTTATAGAAATGTCAGTTTGTCTTTTTAAATATTAAATTGAATTTATTTAATTCTGGGAGTTATAGAATAACACAAATATGACCTAATGTATATAAATTATTTAGGTTAACATATGAGGCTTTTAAATTATATTTTATTACTTTTTTAATAGGCAAAATCTCAAATATTATTCAGTGTATTAGATGTTGCCCATCAGTTTATAAAGCATGGTAATCCAGAAGAACCCAAAGAGGAGAATAATTCTACAAAGAAAACCAGTAAAAGTCAGCATAAACCCAAATCTCTACTTCTGCAGAGGAGCAGCCCTGAGGTAAACTGAGAAAAATTTGGTAGACATTTTCTGACATACATAGCCATGGCAAGTGCCATTCAGGTACTTAACTTGAGCTATAGAGTTGGCCAGTAATTTTATCACATTATTATTTCATATGGATTTGTTTTTTATTAAACAAATATATCTTAACTGTAAAAATATTTTCAAGAAGATTGCTTTGATTCCACTGAACGCCACTCTTTCATGAATGATCTTTTGACCATATGTCTTTCTGGACATTTTCACACATGTCAGGAATTGAATGAGTATTTGGGGAAAACATTTTTTAAAAAACACCGTGCAATCTCACAATTTTATATTAGTCAAGACTTCATTCAGAGAAGCTAAAAATGCAAAACCTTGCCAAGAGTTCTGGGTGACAGGCAATTTCATAGTTATTTAAAACCAGAATTATACCAAATTCTGGCAGCTATTTGGATTGACTACTGATCTAACAATGTGCTAGATAAGTTTTTATCAACTCATGTCTATATATTTATAATAGACATATTGATTCTTTAGCAAGAAATGAACTTCAAATTTTGATCTATGTTATAATCTTCATTCTTTTAGATGCCAGTTACCTCTTCTCTGCAGTTCAAAAGCTGTAACTTAGCTGAAGTCACACAGCTTGTTATGTGTTGACCAAATCTGGGTTGAAGTTAAATCTGTTGTGTTCTAAACCCATGCTCACAGACATAAAAGAAAATGTGCTCTATGGTATTAGGACCTATTTTCAGCAGAGGAAGTGTGCTTGAATATTTCAGGAGCATCAGCATATTTGTATGGGTTTTACTTTCTAATAGACCTGTCAAGGATGTTTTGTGAAGAATCACTGCCTCCTAATTATAATAATAATGTATTGAAGAGCAGACCTACCCTAAATATTTTGCACATTATCTCCTTTTGTCTTTTCTTAATTATTCCCCTCTTTCAAATGAGAGAGTAGTGGCAAAGGATGGTTTTTATAAATTACCAAAGGTCAAATTGATAATGGAACTTAGATACCAGCTCAGACCTTCTGACTCCAAATTTCCTGCTTTTAATCATTAGGCAGAGACTGTGGCTTTAAAAGTTTCTTCTTCATGCCTGCCTTTTCATCTAATTTATCCTATCAAAAATAAATCAGTAGCTAACTTTTATTGAATACCTATGCTAGGCATAGTGCTTAATGTGTTACTTGCCTTATCCAATAATGACAATAACCATATAAGGTTTGTGCTATTATTACCCCAATTTAACAGATAAAAAAGATGACGAGGGATTAAGTAACTAGCCTTACTAGAAAGCGGTAGAGTACTTTGTGGATTCTGGATATCAGCCCTTTGTCAGATGGGTAGCTTGCAAAATTTTTTCCCATTCTGTTGGTTGCCATTTTACTCTAATGCTTCTTTTGCTGTGCAGAAGGTCTTTAATTTAATCAGATTCCATTTGCCTATTCTGGCTTTTGTTGGCATTGCTTTTGGTGTTTTAGTCATGAAGTCCTTGCCCATGCCTATGTCCTGAATGGTATTGCCTAGATTCTCTTCTAGGGTTATTATGGTGTTAGGTCTCATGTTTAAATCTTTAATCCATCTGGAATTAATTTTTGTGTAAGGTGTAAGGAAGTGATCCAGTTTCAGCTTTCTGCATATGGCTAGCCAGTTCTCCCAACACCATTTATTAAACAGGGAATCCTTTCCCCAAAAACAACTTTACAAGAAAGAAACTAACAACCCCATCAAAAAGTGGGCAAAGGATATGAACAAATACTTTTCAAAAGAAGACATTTATGCGGCCGACAAACTTATGAAAAAATGCTCATCATCATTGGTCATTAGAACAATGCAAATTAAAACCACATTGAGATACCATCTCATGCCAGTTAGAATGGTGATCATTAAAAAACATCTGGAGACAACAGATGCTGGAGAGGATGCAGAGAAATAGGAACACATTTACACTGTTGGTGGGAGTGTAAATTAGTTCAACCATTATGGAAGACAGTGTGGAGATTCCTCGAGGATCTAGAAATAGAAATACTATTTGACCCAGCAATCCTATTAACTGGGTATATGCCCAAAGGATTATAAATCATTCTATTATAAAGGCACATACACACATATTTTCATTGAGGCACTGTTTACAATTGCTGTTGTCTTACAATAGCAAAGACTTGGAACTAACCCAAATGCCCATCAATGATAGACTGGATAAAGAAAATGTGGCACATATACACCATGGAATACTATGCAGCCATAAAAAAGGATGAGTTCATGTCCTTTACAGGAATGGAAACCACCATTCTCAGCAAACTGACATAAGAACAGAAAACCAGACACCACATGTTCTCACTCATAGGTGGGTATTGAACAATGAAAACACATGGACACAGGGTGGGGAACGTCACACACTGGGGTCTTTTCAGGGGTGGGGACTTAGGGGAGGGATAACATTGGGAGAAATACCTAAAGTAGGTGTTGGGGGGATGGAGGCAGCAAACCACCATGGCATGTGTATACCTATGTAACAATCCTGCAAGATCTGCACATGTACCCCAGAACATAAAGTATAATAATAATAAAAAGAAAGTGATAGAATAGCCTCCTCTGTGCTATTAATCCTTACAATAGATGTTTCTTCTTGTCTTCATAGGTAACTATGTATGCTATATACGTCTGCCTTGTTGTCTTAACTTAAAACCATTAATCTAATGATCTCATCTAGGAGTGTATATTAAAATCAACTGTAGAAACATTAAAAAAATGCACATGATCGAGTTCAGCATCTCCATGGGTGGGGTTCAGATATGTGTGTGGGGTGTGTGTGTGTGTGTGTGTGTGTAACAACTCCTCAGGGATTCTGGTGAGTGTTCTTGTTTGGGTGTCACTGCTATAGATGACAGAGTACACAATAAAGAGATAACCCTTTCATAGACTTAGTATTCCTCTGTGCTGAAGAGCAGTGTTTCCCAAATTGTAATAAGTATTGTAAGAATTGGAAATTGTTTAAAATGTGCATTCTTGGGTCTGTCACCAAATTTTTATTTTTATTTTTTTTTACATTTAGATCTGAGTCAGGGCTCAGGAGTCTAATTTTTAATTTAATGGCTAGAAGAACCAAATGGTACCAATGCCTGATGCCTCTCTTATGGCCTTTTTAATGGATCAAAGCCAATGGCATATCCTTGAAAAGAGATATAGTTCATGAAAGAGCTTACATTTTAGAAGCTGAAGCCTGGGTTTGAAATAATGATGCTGTTTTTCTTATAGCATTGTAACATTGGGCAAAGTACTTAGCTTTTTTGATCTTCTGTTTTCTCCTTTGGAAAGTGGGAATATCAAAGCACATCATCTTACAGGGATATCGTGTGCTTAGAGTGTAATGAATGTACAACATTGAATTTCTATGTGCGCCTTCGAATTTCTTTTAGAATTGGGCAAGGTCATGTTGGTCTCTGAGTGGAAGTGATATATGATGGTTTTGAACTGAAACGTTTATGATCTAATGTACAACCCTCCAGCTTTTTCTACCCTGCCACAGCTATGGGGAAGCCAGGTATTCCAATGGCATAACTCCAAGACACAAATATCTGACATATCTGATTCATTGCTTGGAAGTAAGCTTCCCTGGAGAGCTGCTGAAATTACTGCATATTGAAACCATTTTGTATTAAGCCACAGAATTTTTTGTGGTTGTTCATTAGTGCAGCATATATACATAGACACACTGACATATTGCTTACTGGATACCAATAAGTGCCTTTTCACAAATACTCCTAAGATTCTATCTCCAAACTAAATTTATCCCCCCTCTTCCAAAACCTATAAATGTTATTGTTGGCAGCACCCTGCCTAGCTTTCCAAGCCATCAAAGGTACTTATTTTTTGTAGAGTTTTCCCTTCGTCCTCTGCATATCCAATCTCTTACTGTATTAGTCTTCTCAGGCTGCCATAACAAAATACCACCAACTAAGTGGTATAAACAGCAGAAATTTACTTCCACAATTCTGTAGTCTAGGAGTCCCAAATCAAGGTGCTAGCAATATTAGTTTCTGGTGAGGCTTTACTTCCTGGCTTGCAAATGGCTGCCTTCTTGCTGTGTTCTTATATGGCCTTTCTTCTGTATGCACATGTACAGAGAGACAGAGAGAGAGAGAGAGAGACAGAGAGAGAGAGAGAGAGAGAGAGAGAGAGGAGAGAGAAGAGAGGAGAGAGAAGAGAGAGAGAGAGGAGAGAGACAGGAGAGAGAGAAGAGAAGAAATATATGATGGCTCTTCCTCTTGTTCTTTATTTATTTGAGATGGTGTTGCTCCATTGCCCAGGCTAGAGTGCAGTGGTGGGAACTCAGCTCATTGCAACCTCCTCCTCCCATGCTCAAACATTAGTCACACCTCAACCTCCCGTGTAGCTGGGACCACAGTGTGCACCACCATGTCTGGCTCTCTCCCTCTTCTTCTTTTTTTGTTCTATTGTATTTGGGCTCTGGGGTACATTTGCACATCCTGCATTCTGAAGGATTGTTGCATAAGTACATATGTGCGATGGTGATTTGCTGTCTCCATCTCCCCACCTCCCATCGCCGACATCAGGCATTTCTCCCAGTGTTATCCCTCCCCATCCTCTCCACTCCCCACTGCTCTCCCTCCCCTCTCCTCCTCTTCACCCCCTACCTAGCCCTGTAAGTGTTGTTTCCTTCTCTCTGCCCAAGTGTTCTCATTGTTCATCACCCGCCTATGAGTGAAAACATGTGGTATTTGGTTTTCTGTTCTTGTGTCAGTTTGCTGAGAATGATGGTTTCTACATTCATCCATGTCTCTACAAAGGACACAAACTCATTATTTTTTATGGCTGCATAGTGTGCCATGATGTATATGTGCCACATTTTCTTTGTCCAGTCTATCATCGATGGGGATTTGGGTTGGTTCCAGGTCTTTGCTATTGTAAACAGTGCCACAATGAACATATGTGTGTATGTGTCTTTATAATAGCACAATTTATAATCATTTGGGTATATAC